TTTTTGTATTTGGGATTTTCGAATAGCCATAGTTGCTGAATTAATAGCGCTTTCCACCATCAGAGACAGTAAAGTTGTTAGCAAGAAGCAAGTGATTAAAAAAAGTACTTGTAAATTAACTCCTGTTGTAGACATTGTCTACTTGATTTTTGTTTACTTATATACATGGAAATGTCACAGTGAAACACTCTGTATAGCGATCTCAAGCAAACAAAAAAAAATTTTTTTTTTAACAAAAAAAGAGAACAGGAAGGCAAACCAGGTCCTGTTTGTGGGGGTTGGTAACAGTGGGAGTGGGAGGATATAAGGAAAGGGTGTACAAGGGTGAATATAGTGCAAAATATTTTATGCTGATGTATGAAAATGGAAAAATGAGACATGTTGAAAGTGTTCCAGGAATAGGGGGAGGGGAGGGGATAAAGGAGAACGATGGAGGGGGTAAATTCAACTATGATATGTTGTAAGAACTTTTGTAAATGTCACAATGTACTCCCAGTAGAACTATAATGAAAAAATCTGCTCTATCACTGATACTCTATTCACATCTTTTTAATAGCAAAACTAGGTGTGTGAGCAGTTAATAGTTTTGAGATGTTAAAATTTCAGATTTGACAAAAATGTCAACGAGAAAATAATTTTTTATAAACTTCCTCTAGGCTAGTGCCATTGGCTATAAGTTCCCTTCCTTTTCTTCTGATTATACACAACTGGATACGATCATGTATGCCCTGGGAGTGGGGGCATCTGTCAAAGAACCAATGGACCTGAAGTTCGTGTATGAAGGAAGTTCTGACTTCTCCTGTCTGCCGACCTTTGGAGTTATCTTGGCTCAGAAGACTTTGATGGGTGGAGGACTGGCAGAGGTTCCTGGGCTTTCGGTTAACTTTGTGAAGGTACACCTCATATGAAATGCTTATTTGACCTTTCTTCTGTTTGTTTAAATGACATTGATAAATGTCACATCCCATATGTATATGTGTCATGTATATGTAACATGTATAAAACTATAAAATAGCTTGCAGTGGTTGGTTCAGGAATAATGATTTAGCATATCTTTTGATCTTTCATTTTAAGAATAAAAGATGGGAGAGGTCATTTAAAATGCCAGCAAAAAGAGAAAAACAATTGTGTATTCCCACACCCCAGGCATAATGGTAGTAATCCCCTCTGCTATTTCTTGCTATTTGACCAAAGTTAAATAACTTCTCTAGGCTTTAGTTTTCTTATTTTTGAGAAGCATGTGATAATCTTTACCACATGGACTAAAGTTAGCAGGGCAGGTGTATGTGGGGCAGAGAAAACAAGTGTTAGAGCCTCGAGGGGGCACAGACCTGGCTTGTGGAGTAGATGTGGAGTGGGGAAGGTTTACTATGCATGGGTGACAGAAGAAATGGGCCTTGTAGTCATGGTTGGGACTTCAGCCTACACTGTGATTAAGCTAAGTGGTCCCATGAACCAGGTACACTCACTTCCAGGTTAAAGCTTGTGTCTGTGTGGAGAAGAGTTTGTGTGGGAGCCAAGCATGGAAGTAAGAGAACACTGAGGAGTAGATTGCAGTAATCCAGGCAGAAGGGCTGAGTGTGAGGGGAGGAAAGAGGAGTTGTGAGGGAGTTGTTTGTTCTGGACAACTGAGATTATGTAGATATAATCACACACACTTTCTGGGATTACAGGTGTGTGCCACCACGCCTAGCTTCATACACACTTATTTTAAGATGGGGTTGGTCAGGAGTTGGTTTTGGATAAGTTTGAGATGTTCATTATGTATCAAAATGGAGATGTAAAAAGGGCAGTTGAGAGTGAGTGTAGAGTTTAGGGGAAAGGTCTGACCAGGATCCTTAGTTTTCAGGGGATGTTTAAGACTTAAGCTAGATGAAATCACCTAATCTGTGAGTACTGGTAGGGAAGAGGCCTGAGCTTCAGGGCCCTGTAGAGTTTAAGAGGTTGAAGAGCTGCAGAGAAGCTACCAGGAGAGACTTAGAAAGCTAGCCCATGCGATATTAGGGACATTGCACTTGAGATGCCAGGTGAGTAAAGCCTTTGAAGAAGGAAGAAATGAGAAATGGTAAGAAAAGCCTTTAGTTCTTGGAGTGAATCACAGAGCCATGAGCAGATCTGTGAAATTATGTCATTTAGCCTGTTGCTAGTGGCCATTCCATTTGAATAGGTGGGGACTTATTTTGAGTGTTTGATGAAGTTGGAAGGAGAGAAATATGCGCTGGGCAGTTTGCTGTGTTATTTTCTCGCCTATGTTATTCTTGGCACACCATTCTTCTGTAAGTGTGAAACACTTAAACAAATGTTTCAGAACTCCCTCCTAGAGTCAGAAATCATAAATGCTGCTCATAGTTTGATTGGGAGTGACAGCCATTTGGAAACTTTAGTCTCAGTTTTCTAGCCTTGGGCTTCCAAGCTATATGGCAAAGTGAGGCAGACTGTCCTTCATTTACTTTCCAAAAGCCACCTCTTCCTTTTGGATTTTAAGGAAGGCAGAGAACTGTCCCACCACAGGGAACACATCATTTGTGTGTAAGGGTTAAGTTTTGCTTTTCCTGACACATTGTTTTTTCTAAGTATGTGTGTTTTTGCTTTGCTACACTGAGGTTAAGTGGCTACTAAGTACAAGATACTATATAAAGGAGGCTGATAGAATGGCTGGGTAGTAGCATGCCTGCCTAAAGTGTGAGGCCCTGAGTTCAATAAAGAGAGTGTTGACATTTATAGTGCATTTCCTTTGAACATGGTTTGAAGGTTCATCTTCAGAGTCAGTTTTGTTTGGTGTGTGTGACCTGAAGTTGCCATTACTGTCCCATTTGCTCATTTCTGTTCAACAGATACTTGTTGGATGCCTAATATGGTATAGGCACTGTTATAAGCACTGGAAATACAACCTGTCTGAATGTCTCTGTTGGCATATAATGCATAATTATTAGTCATCAAGGGTTCATGAATGCCAGGAAAAACATAAATACGTCTTCTCTGCTCCAAAAATGCTGCTGTCCTTAGACTGGGTTCTGAGTCACATGATTAAGAAGCAGAGGCCTAACTGAGACAGTGTAGGGGAGCAGTGATATGAGATGGGCATGTGGACGGTAAAATGTCTCTGTGACTACCAGTGCTCACAGGCAGACCTGTGGGACAAAAAAGTTGGCTAACAAGAGTCTTCTTATCCTTACAACAGCTTCTTCATGGGGAGCACTACTTGGAGTTGTATAAACCACTTCCTAGAGAAGGTGAGTTCTTCACACTAATCCCATAATACCATAATTTTCTGATCAGTCTTCCCAACTGCCATTGTGCTAAACTGCATAGAGTGACTCAGAAAGAACTAGTACCTTCCTGTTTTAGTTACCTTAAAATTGTCCATTAATAGTCTTGTGATCAATAATTTTATGACATATTCTATAAACATAATTTATCTGTTTATATAATAAAGGAGTTATTAATGATGGGCAAGAACAGTGTGTGTGTGTCTCAATTTAGTGGTTATGAACGATCATTAGCTGTCATTCTTCTGGTTACAGTTCTTCATTCTTCATCTTGATACTTTCATAGAGTAAGCAATGTTAAAAGATGTAGAACTTGTAATTATGTTTTTTTCCCCTATTTTCTTTTTGAGAAAATAAAACCAAGGCTACCTGATCACCACTTTTCTCTTTGATCAGCATTATTTTACTTGCTCATGATGGCTTCTCTTTTTAGTCTTTCTTTTTTTCCTCTGGTCTGGAATTTGAACTCAGGGCCTCATGCTTGCAAGGCAGGTGCTCTACCACTTAAGCCACACTCCCAGCCCTTTCTTTTTTGTGTCACTATAATTTAATGTATTTGATTTGTTTCTTTCCTTTGATGTCAGAATGTTGTCCAGTTATACACTGGACATGTCAAGTGGTAAAATGCAAAAAAGACTTTATTTACCATTTCACATTGTATATAATGTGGAGGTCAGCAAGTAGCTAGAATCCCACCTTAATGTCTTACTTAATCTTTTTTATTTTACTAAAACTTTTATGAGTTTTTTTACTGTATAAGGTAGATCAGCTTCATTTCAGCATATTATAGCATACATTTTGGAACAGCCCTTTTTATCTGAGACAGTGGTGATTGTGCATTGATTGTACCTCTGCTGGATGCCCACCATTTGCAAAGCGCTGTATTAGGTGTTAAGAGATTTTCTAACTTGACTGCATAGCACAATCACCTGAGTTATTCCATTATATTACCTGTCACTTCTAGTGAAGTGTGCATTCTGGACGCCAGCCTTGGCGGTTTTGTGTGTCTTGTGGTATGGTGGTTGATTTGGGAACCACTGTCATAAAGGAGTATGAATGTACTAGGTTCTGTGCTTAGGGGCTTTAGAATATGAAGAAAGATCAGACATGCTCTTAAATGATGGTGATGCTCAGCGGCAATGAATGGGAAGGCCTGGGTGACACTGCTTATAATTTCTTTACCTCCTTAGCTGCCAGTTATCTTTCCCACGAATTACTTGTCTTCAGTGGTGTCTGTACATTTCCATTGTAGAGTTTTAAAGTTCACTTTCCAGTAATTGTGAGTATTCAAAATTTGAGGTCTATGTGGTTTGGAATCTTTTTAGACTGCAGAGATTGGAAAGCCTGGCTACCATTCATAGTCTGTCACACAGCGCACCCTGGAGACTAGACCTGAGCACTGGAGCTGGTGTCAGCATATCACTGGCTCATTGTTGACTCAGGGCAGCCATGATGGGCAACAAACCTTAGGTGCAGAGGGAAAAGCCTGACAGCAGCACCCTGCTTCCTCTGTCAGAGGGTGCACTCTCCTCCAGGCTGTACTGGTCTCTAGGTTTTCTGAGTGTACGATAACTTCTGCTATCAGTGCAAAACAATGTATTGTTTCATCTGGGAAGTGAGATTGCAACAGTGCTAGCAACCTGAGTCTCTTGACTGAGAATCTATGACCATCAAATATTAGTATGTATAAAGTGCTTTTAAACAGCTAAGTATTATGCAAATGTAATTATTATGCCAGATTTCTAAAAAACCATCTCACTGAGCTGTGGTTTTGGTTGATAGTACAGATTTAACCTTCTCCTAAGTACTCATTTAGCTGAGTCTTTACAAAATTATAAAATGTGTTTATTACAGAAATTTTGGAAAGTACAGAAAAATAGACAAGAAAACAGTTGTCTGAAATTATTCACTTAATAAGTGTTCTGTGCCAGGCATTCTGTCAAGTGAGGGCTGGTAGTAGAATCACAGAAAAGTCATTATCCTTGTTTGTCCAGAGCTTAGGTGAACATTGGATGGTTCCCTGTAATGGGAGACCTATAAGTGTACGTAGGTGCACACAGGGAGGTCTCCAACCAGAACTGAACCTGGGTTGGGGACACTTGTTTTGTTTCACAATACTGGGGTTATTTATGTAATAATGTATGCTACTTTTCCTTTTAGGAAAATTTAAATGTGAAGCATCTATTGCTGATGTCCTAGATAAAGGATCTGGCCTTGTCATTCTTTTGGATGGTAACTCATTTACAGTTTTTACAACAATATTGTTAGATTGATAGGCATTGTATGTAATGTAATACTTTATCAGAGAAATTTATTAATAAATTTGCATTATTTTCTGATTTGTAAGATGGCAAGGTAAGTATTTAAAAGCTTTATTGACTTTTTAAGAAGGAAGGAGGGGTGTAGGGAGCAGACTGGGGTATGACTTAGGGGGAGGGTGGGGCATTTTCAGTGGATGAAAACAATATAACTAAAGCACAGAGGGGAGAAATGTGGCTTCAGTACAAATCATAGAGGAGAATTGTTCCTGCAGAAGCTCTCAATTGCTAGTTAAGCCATATTGTTGATATTCTTTTCTGTGTTAGCTGTTTGGAACATGAAGAATAATCCTGTGGTCAACATGGTAATTAGTGTTCTAGACTTGGATATTTAAGCCTGTTTTACTCATAATGTGGCCTAAACATCATAGTCACATTTTATCTGCAGTGAGAAAAAAATTATAGTAGTTTAATAACTACAGATAGAAATCCCAGTAACTAAGCTGGGCGCCGGAGGCTCACGCCTGTAATCCTAGCTATGCAGGAGGCAGAGATCGGGAGGATCATGATTCAAAGCCAGCCCGGGCAAATAGTTCATGAGACCCTATCTCGAAAAAACCCTTCACAAAAAAAATGGCTGATGTTGTGGCTCAAGTGGTAGAGCGACTGCCTGACAAGTGTGAGGCCCTTAGTTCAAACCCCAGTGCTGCCAAAAAAAAAAAAAAAAAAAAAAAAAAAAA